CAAAAAAGTCGGGATGGTCGGCGTGCTGCGTTTTATTGTGTGCGCGGAGAGCAGCTCACTTCGGGCCTGTTATTATGAATGTGGTGCGCCTTTTCAATCACTGATGGATGTGAGTGGAAAATGTAAAGGATTGGACAGCACATGATAATTTTTATAAATATGTATAAATTATAACTTGGATTCTATTAAAATATGGTACTTAGTTAGTAAAAAAATAGTCAAGAATTATTATTATTAATTGATCAAAACTTACAACATTAGCCGAGAATTTTTAATTTTGTGGTAGAATTTCACAATCGAGGGTTGATTCATGGTGATTTGAATTTAAAATCGGCGTTTCCTCGATGGGTTTTTGTGAGTTGTTTATTGTTTCAGAAAAAACAATATCCTGCTCTACATGTTTCGGCTGCGGGCTGCAGCCATAATTCATGAGCTGCGAAAACATTTTGACAAAAATTAGTACAAAAATAAATCTTTTTTCAAAAATTATTTTTCTTTCAAATTGAAAATTATCCGTGCAAAATTATTTTAACTAACATTTCTTCACAAAATAATTTTTAACACAAAATTTGACATTTAATTCAAAATATTTTTTAAAAAACATAATTTTTGAAAAAGATTTATTTTGTACTAATTTTTGTCAAAATGTTTTCGCAGCTCATGAATTATGGCTGCAGCCCGCAACCGAAACATGTAGAGCAGGATATTGTTTTTGCTGAAACAATAAACAACTCACAAAAACCCATCAAGGAAAAGCCGATTTTAGATTCAAATCACCGAGAATTTTTAAATTTAATAGCGAAAAAAATTGACAGCCTGCGTTTTTTTAGTCCTCATGATTTTTAAAATTTACTATTTATATTGAGGATTTTCCAAAAAGCTCATACAAATTTTAATTTTATAGTAAAACGCCGCGAAGCTTATAATTTTGGACAATTTATGGGCTGTTTTTTAATTGATGCATCTGGAACGTATTAAAAAATTTGGTTTATTGCATTTATTTAATTCCTCCATATCTTCCCCATGCTGACAGCGCATCTGATCCCTGATAAATGATATTTTTATAGAAAAATTTAAGATGCTGAACTTGAGTATTAATCCTGTCCTGTAAAAATTAGACAATTATAATTTTAAAACAAAATATCACATTTTTGGATTAAATTAAAAACTTTAGTTGAACACAGAAATGTATATGAGACTAATAATTTATATTAAAATAATAATAAAATTAGATATTATAAATATTAATGTCAAATTTATAAAAATTATAAAAAATTTATATTTTAAACAAAATGTTTTTAAAATAAAATTATAAAAATTATATTACAAGTTAAATTTTTATTAATTTATATATTTATTTTTCATTTTCTTTTCTATTTTATTTAAATATATTAAATATTGATTTTTCTACAATATAATAAAATAAACTGTTGATTTTCTATCTTGCGCAATTATGTCAGTTCTAAAGATGAGACTCTTGTTGTCTGATAAAAGTGAAGTTGCATCACCTGAGCCGCGCTGAAGCAAATTTCTGCACCCGTAAGGTTGCAGCCATAGCATTGCCGACCCGAGCAGCTTCCGATTTCCCTGCCAAGCTCCTTCTCGGCGTTGCAGAAAACCCGATCTCTTTCTCAACTTTGAGATGCTGCTCCGCGAGACAGCGTCACTTTTGCGAAAAATACATAAACCGTACATATTATATTATGAACACGAGAGCTGTTGGGCGCTCAGGTTTCACGCGCTTATATTTTGTTTCCATACCTTGTGTGTTGATATTTCTGCAGCTTCAATAAAGTCAGACTTAACGGGGCACGTATATAAAACGACAACAACAACGTTCGCAGAAGTTGAAATTCCTCAACCATGATTGGTGCGGCAATTAGGTAATTTCAACCTTGGCTGCCAAATAAAGCGGCAAAGCGTTGCCTCTGGCGCATATTTTCTACTTAATTTGTTTTTAATTTTGAGAACTGTCGAAATCGCCGCGTCTCATCAGGCTGCTAGTAATTTTCAGAAAAATGTAAGAATATTACATAGAGAAACGACCAGTTTATTTTTAAGCAAGGTGAAGAGCAACTTTCAAACTTGTATTTCCCCGTCACGTTTGCTTCGCGGCTATATTGGAACTGCGCACGCGAACTTTTATTGCATACTCTGAAATAATAAACAAATCTTAACGAATTTGGCTAACTATATCTTTTTATATTATTATTATTGATCTTTATTGACGTATGAGGCGTCACCATGATGTAATTACTCATTGCGACGCGCCCCATTTGCAACATAGTACAAAACAAGTAGAAAATAGAGAGTAAAAAACAATGTATCAATTAGTTGAAAAAACTCTTCTTTGCTATAAAATTTATGTGAATGAACAAATCGCCTCAAACTAAGTTTTCAAAAATCTTGTATCGAGGCTCGAAGCGAATCGAAACAGGCAATTTGTTATACAAGGAAGCCAGACAAGTCAAAGGGTTCTGCTTCGAAATTAACAAAGTCTGAGGATGAACATAGATTAGATTAGATAATAGTTTTATTCATTTGAGCACAAATTTAGAGTCATCAACATGCAAAAAAATACCTCCAAAACAAGTTTATGTTGCCCGTAGAACACGTCAAGTCATTACATGCTAATTAAAATTATGTCCGAAAAATTCGAACGGATCGTAAAACAAATTATCATTCAACACCTTTTTAACAAGTTTCTGAAAATCTTTGCATTTAATTCTATCTTTTATTATATTCGGAAAATGATTAAATATTTTTGCAATCATTACAAGAGGGTTTTGACATGTCATAGTTAATGAGGTGCTTTCAACAAAAAGGTCACAGTCATTGAACACTGCACCTCTCGTATTATACGACTTTGCATTCGGAACATCTTTTTTTAATCTAAATTTCTCCAAATCCCTTTTTGCCCGTGTCTGATAATTATGAACTTCACTTGTTTTTGAAAATAGTGCGGATATTTACGAACAAATTTACACGATTCGAAGAGGTGAATTGAAAAAACAGGCAGAAAGTCAAATGTAGCGAAAAGCGGCCGCGCAGAACAAAGTGGCTCCGTACTGCGCCAATAGCGCTCACCCGCAAGAGCTCGCACCACTTTTTTCTGCGCCAGGAAAACCTCGTCCAGCGCTTGATTCGACCCTCCCCAAATTACAATGCCATAACTCATAATTGACTGACAATAAGCGTAGTAAATCATTTTCAAATATTTCACATCAACAGAACGCATCAAATTAATTTTACAAGACTACTATAAAAATCTGTTATTTATAGTAATAAAAAAAATGTTAAAATCACCATCCGCAGCAAACTATTTATGCAAAATAAAACAGCTTTTAAGTAGGCATCGTTTAATTGTCTTCAGATAAAATATTTTAATAAAATTTCTGTTAAATTGAAAGGAAAATAAATAAAATAAATTTAATTATTTATTTTAAAGCAAATATAAAATTTTTATAAAAACAATTTAAAATTTGTATAATTATGCAATAATAATATATTATTTATAAAGTAAGAATCTTTTTCTTAATTTTTTTATTATGTGTAATTTTTGAAATGCCTGCGCAATCATAAAATTGAATATTATGAGTATATTAAGAGTATGTTAAATATTTAACTTGAAAAAAACTAAAAATTCACCTCCCCTCTAATTATGAGCCATAATTTTATGCATAACTTATGCACATTTGAAGTCTCTCGCACTCCCTTAAGCGCGGATCTTTTTATGTTAAATAAATACTAAAGTAAATATTAATTTTAATTAAATCTCTGCAACATTTGAAAATAATAGTTTTCCACGCTGTAAACGTTGCTATAATTTAACGGAGTTTAACAGGCAATTATGAAAACATAAAAGTTTTAACAAAGCTGGATAGGTGTGGTCCATCCGTCGTCCAATTATGAACCCAAGAAATAATTGGTTCACAATAGTTGTACTCGCGTTCTTTAGCGGCGGCGCATCTTCAAGTGGCTGCGAACGTGTTTCTGCTCCTCGGCCCAATTAACAATTTGATTGAAAATCCATTTTCACCACACACGGCAGCCACCCAATTTTTATTCCATCTTCACGCAAACGGACGCATCAGAATTTATTTTCCTTATTTGAATAAGACCATAAATTATTCCCGCGGAGGGATATTAAAATCCTGGTGATGGACTGAAGAGGCCTGATTTGAATATTATGTGCCAGGGCAGAACAACCATAATAATAATAAGGCTTCCAGGTAGGGCGTTTAGAAGCAGACAAGCGATGCCGTCGGCCGAGAATTTTCATTTCATTTCTGCTCTCATGAGTTAGTCGGCTTCGTCTTTACATGTATAAAATTGAATAATCAAGGGCAAAATGATGCCTGCTTGGTCCAATGGCTTTTCAACAATCTTAATCTGAAAATGCTCTAGCATAGAGCTCCCGTTTTTCTGCTTTTTTCATTCAGTCCAAATGAAGTGACATTCCTAACAAGCGCATTTACATTTCTTTCAAAGGGACCGCCCTGTTGAGTGATTTTTTTTATGTTTCTTAAATTCAAGCAACAGCTGTGCGCTGGAAAATTTCGTAAATTGATAAACAAAATTTTAGGGCAAAGCGACCTCATTTAATTCCATTATTGTTATTAAACATAAATTTTGAATGTATATGAATATAATTAAAAAGGAGAATTTTTATTTCATATTCTACATTTAGAGAAAAAAACTTCATTTAATAATCTAATTATTTTTATAATTTTAAAGTATTTTTTTAGTTAACAGAAAAGACGTAAACAATTATTTAATAATGTATGTTTATGATTTAATAAAAAACTTATTTAATATTACCATTAAATTATTTAATTAATTCTTATTAAATTAATAAATAAAATTATTTCTTAAATCTTTCATTGTTCGTCTGTTTTCAATTTTTTTTTTATTATTAAATCATTTGTTTTAAACTAATTATGGCTGCGTAGCATTAATTTTTAAGAAGGTTATTTTTAAGAAAATTTGGAAAATCTTTTAATTGAATGGCATTTATTATTATGTGCATTTTACAAGCATTTTGATAGTCATTTTTCATTAATCAAATTTATCACAGATGGCACACAAGAAACAATTAGATCGTACTTTTACACATTCATTCCACTTTGACAAAAGGTTTTTATTTAGCAACAACTTTCGCACGATGCGTTTTATACAAAACAAGCGACACAAAATCACATTTTGAAGAACAAACATTTCCGACGAGTGTGGCGCAATAAATTCAGCCGCGTGCAATCTTCTTGTGCAAGTTGTTAAATTGCACACATGTCCGCAGAAGCTCCTCTGCCTTTTTTTTCTCGTTGCGCAAAAGGCATGAATGATTCATGAAAGTAGCGACAGGCGCAATAACAAACAAAGTGTGTTTGAAAAACGTCCAACGCTCAATTTGTCATACAGCAAATTTCAACTCACGAAGAGCAATTTTCAGTTTCGCCCGTGGCAAATCAAGAGTCAAATTTATTTCGCATTGTGCTTTGGAAAAGAGGTGAGGGGCAATTTGAGCTCTCGGAGATGAAAAATAATGGCTTGTGGGAATCTAAAGTAACGGAGCAACCTTTCACTTTGCTTTGTGTGCAATAAATTTATTATAACGCCACAAGGCGTGCTTGCTGGGTCAATATTTATTGTATCTGTCCAACTTTCTTTTCAAAAGTGTAATTACGAGAGCAGCAGTGAATTATTCGCACCACACTTGATTGCACTTGGATGGAGATCAGAGTCTCGAGAAATCAACTCTATTTTTTCACAACATTTTCCCAGTTCAGTGCGTTCTTTTTACAATTAAACCTAATTATTATTGCATTGAAACTTACATTAATAGTTCATTTACGAGGGGCAAAGAATTCAAAATTAAAAAGTTTTGGCACCGGAATTCACGAATGCTCCTTACCGGAAAATGACACGAAATTTTGAATGGAATGATACTGATGGAAAATCAAATGTACAGCAGGAATGGTTTGAAGGTTAAAAAAAGATTAAAAGTTAATTAAAAAACTTAATTAATAAAGGTTTAGGCAATTTCTCCCCTTAGTGCTCAAAATAATTTTAAAATTTGGATGATCGCATCCTACTTTTGAAATCAAAATATCTGATTCGAACTTAAAAATATAAAAGGCAATCGATTCCCTGGCGAGATTAACTATAATTCTAAATTAAAAATTAAAATGCTGGCACGTCTTTCGTCGTATCAAAGCCGAAGGACCGAAGAAGAGTTTTTCGTGTCTGAATAAATTTTGATTTGCACCAAGATGCTAAAACTCCTTCTCAAGGAAAACCGTAAACTTTCTGTTTGTTTTTCTAGAATAACTCTTTGGGGCCGAGGGCGGCAATGAACTTTCCGAGACGTGCAGCACATTGCGAGGACGAGCGAGTTCCCAGCTCTCTGCGGTGTTTTACACGGGAATATAAAATTTTACACTCTTTCACACATGTTGGCACTTCTTTCGTATACAAACACAACATTCATAAAAAAAAAACTCTCTCACACGTGTGCCGCAGACGAAATTCGCGCGTTACAGAAACAAAATTATACTGATTGCACTTTTGGGCCTTTTCGTACTCAAATCTGAGCTTGCTTGACTTGCATAATTATTAATTAATATGTACAAAGTAAAAAAAAGAACGCACTGATCTGTGAAATGGGCAAAGTATGACGAGATCACTAAAAACAAATCGTTCGAATGACTAAATATATCGAAATCAAGATCCTTTTTCAATAAGTCGCAATAATTAAACGCTTTTCACACAAACACGCAAGATCTAATTGTGGATTCTTATGTCGATAAACAATTAAACAACAAACAATAATTAAAATCATGATCGCTTCAACTGATAGGAAGATGAATGTATAAAAATTCAGTTCAATTCATTATATTTGTACACAAGTCCTGTTCTTTTTCTTCACCAAATTGTTTATTTTTGCACTTCTACGCGGTCAGGATGCACTCGGAGGCGCCTACCCTGTTCAGCCGTCGCGACAACCTGACCCAATCCTCCAACCTGGGCGCGCAGGTCAGCGTCAGGTCGCCGAGTTTTCGTCTCGCCATGAAGACGAACTCGCCGTCGCCCTGCCGAGCGTCGCAGTGTTGCCCGACGACCACGTGGAAGGTTTTGTCGTCGACGGGCGCTTGAATTGAGTTTTCCAACTCGTCGTCACCTTGCAGGGTGCGCAGGGTCTTGGTCGCGCGCACCGACAGCGTCGTTTGCTTCAGCACGAAGTTCTCGGCCGTTTTCACAATGCGACCTCTGGCGACTGAAACACATGACATCAAAGACGTTAAAATTTTGACAATTTGAGAAGATTTATTTTGTTGTAAAATTTTATATTTTTATAAATTCAATAAATTCTATTGATTCAATTTTGTTGAACGTAATATAAACTTAACATTTTTGTGCCCAGACACTAAAGTTTAAGTTATTTTTTAAAAGATTTTACTGTAATTGTGCAAGATATGTTAAAAAAAATTGATTAAAATTCACAATAAATTGAAAAGAAATTTAATTTTTATTGTTTTTAAAATATAATTTATTTAAAAAAAATTAAGTTTAAAAATTATAATATAATAATTCAAAATAATGCAACAAAGAAATTTATAAATTTGATTTGTTATAACTTTAATAATATTATTATTGTTTTTTTAGGTTTTTAGGTTTTTAGGTTAGGTTTTTTTAGGTTATAAACTATCTAGTTTTTTTATTAACTTTCATGCCTTTGCTACTGTTTAAGTTAAATCGTATTGAATTTATATCTTAATCAGCCAATTTATATTCTCAGCACTTGCACCTCAACATTCGTTTTTATATTTTTATTGCTTTCATTATGTCTTAAGCCTCTTTTTTTTATATTCAAATTCTCATTTCGAGGCGCCGACAAAAGGAATTATTGTTGTTCGTCTCGCCAAAATATCTCCGTCCCTTGTAAGTACACCACTTTTTTATATCGATTCTTAATAAATATTCCGAGAACGAGAACCGGTTTCTCGTGGGCAAAATGTTTTATATGGTGGCGCCTGTGCTTGTAAACGTGAAATTCGGCTCAGGCCCGCCTGCCGAGAGCAAAAAATACTAAAAAGGCCTGATTGGAAATTTTCTCCGGCGAACGCGGTAGGCAATTCCTGAAATAATTGCGCTACTAGTTTCAGTTTTATCTGCGTTGTAAGACCGCTTTATTATGTATTTTTCTGTTGCCTCCACGGTAAAGAATAATAAATTTCTAGAACGGCTCTCACGCTCTCTAACTTGGCGGCGCACAAAGATTAATTTCTCATTGGCGTTGCAAACTAACGTAACACTTTTCATATTCGGCATTTCAAGCGTACTTAATTTGATTTACAGCTTCAATTATATTGCGAAGGCAAATAAATTTCGTGCAGCATTTTTAAATCTTTCAAATCCCCACGAGTTTAACTAGTAATCCTGCCGGCGAATTTGCTATTCATGTTCGCCAAATGCCCGAGGATTAAACTGTCGTGTTGCAAAAAAAGCCTAAGCAGCTTTTTTCCAAAGAGGAAACGCATAAAAAGCATCAGAGTCTTGAGAATTAGAATTAAAAGTATCACTCGGAGGCAGCTGGTGACAATGACGATGGAGCAGCATTTGATGTTTTTTACCCGGCCCGGATGCTGTAGGTGTGCTCGCAACGCCAAATGACGTCACCGAAAGTGTCTCATCTTAAATTATCATAATGGCCCGTCGCATGAATAATTTCGGCCAAAGTAGTGCGGCGGCGAGACTGTCCGTCTAAATAAAAACGAATGAAAGCTGAGGTCTCAAATTGATGAACGCCGCAGTATGAACATATAATGTGCACGCACACACCATGTATATAAAAGACGGTACTGTTCGCTCATTGGCTGAATTAGCGATATATTAACACTTCTCTCGCGGCCGGAGAGGCAAACACGGCGCGCGGTCCCACGGTTCGCCAACTATTAAATAGAAACTCACCTAGGTCGCTTGTGCAGAAAGCTGTTGCCAGTTCCTCCTCTGAACACGGTTTGCACTCTGCAAATTCAAAACAAAAAATATGCTTGAGATCGTTCAAATTTTTAAAGTAAATTAAATGTCTAAATTTCAATCACGACTTAAAGACAGTTAATTTATTTTACGAAATTTTGATTTAAAATTCTTCTTTATGAAGCTGAGCGTCAAAATTTAGTGGAAATGCTACAAGATCTAAAAAATAATTTATCTTTGACTGATTCTTACCTTTTTCAGGGTCGAACCTGCCGCTGGAAGGCAGTTGCTCGAGGTGGTACTGAAAGCTGAGATCAGTGTCGGGCGCGCCGGCCTCCGTCTCGACGAACAGCGCCACCTGCCCGTTTTCGGAGAGGGCGCACTCCAGGGGTGGCGCCACGCCCCTTTTGACCCTGACCTCCGGGAACATTTTCTTCAGACTAGCCCTCTTCTGCAGCCAAATGGTGGTGCCGCCGCTGCCCTTGAGCGGCCGCACGCACGCCCTGAACTGGGCGGCCGCGGACACGGGGTTGGGGAGGCGCAGGAGCACAAGCAGGGCGCCTCGGGGGTGTTTCCAAGTCACCCTGCCCTCAGTGCAGCGCAGATAAACGGAGGTCACGCCAGACTCCGATGGACCACTGAAACATAGGAAATTCAACTCGTTTTAATTCAAGAATCAATTAAATTTTAATAAAAAAAAATTAAAATTTTGCATTTTTATTTAAAAATAAATGATAAATCGATTTGCGGGGAGGATTCGCCTGTTAACATGCAGAATGTTCTGCTGCATAAATTTATGATTGATAATTGAGCCCGGCGATGAAATTGCTTTTCCTTTGTGCTGGACCCTGATGACGGGCCATCAATTTCTCTCGACTTCGCCCCTTCTCTGTGCACTCGGAATTAACTCTTGAGGAGCAAACCATTAGACGGGGGAATTTGATTTACCCATTAAATTTTTTTCCACCCCCTGCCGAGCGGCCCAAGTTGTTGCAGGTCGCAAAACCGATCGATCTCGTTTTGAGGGGAAATCAGGTGTGCAGGCAGCCCACTTTTCTGGAAGGTTTCAGGTGCGGTCCATTGTGTTGTTCACGAGTTTGCTATGGGGTTATATACGGAATGCGTCCTTTGTGTGTGCCACAGACTAACAAAGGCAGGGTTCGCTCGCTCGTATGTTTCTTCTCGACCCAACCACCTACGGGGTGGAAATCAAAATGATGACTGCGCACATTTAAATCGAATTGCCACGCCGCTCACTTTATACATGCGTTGACGGCTTAGAAATTAATGAACGAGAGAGAAAGAAAGAAACAGAGAAGCCATTTTCGGAGAAGCCGCGAGGTGTTTTTTTTATTTATTCCGTTTAATTTTTGACTGAGCAAATTAAAATGAAAGCAACAGCGGGCGGTTTTTCGCGACGCCGATTTCCAATTGATTTGATGTGCAAATAATGGAGTCTTTTCTTCTGACTCATGCGGCGTTCTGGTGAAAAATCGTCGGCGCCATTCGACTGTTTTTGCTTGTGTCACATTAAAAATGTGTTCTTCTGCAAGTCACAGTGAAAACAAAATGAACTTCAAGAAAGGTTGAGCACCACTCCCCGTTTGATATTAATATATACGCGGCTGGGTTTACATTATTTATTTTTTTTCTTATTCAAGAGAGGAGAGGAATCACTTTGCTCGTGGTAAGTGACACTCTCTTTTTGTATTATTACAAGACGGATCTCTCGTCTCTCTTGTTGGACGTAACAACCTTTCAAAACAAAACGCGAGAGGTGAAATAACAAAATTATTATTTTCCACCAGTATAAGAATGCATTCCGAAGACTGAAAAAGAACCGGTTGGTCTCGATATATGTTGAATCATCATCTCTGAATATGTATTCATCAAAATATTCAAATCAAGGCGCAAAAGGTCAGAACAGAAAGATTGGTCTGATCGAAAACAGCGAATAATTTGTTCTTGAGAAAAAAAAATCAGATTGCATAAATTAATAATCACTGTCAGGGATGTTTCAAATTAGAATTTATGAAACGCACGAAAGTTTACATCAATTTTTCATGAGGCTCTTTCTAGTTTTATTTACAAGAATTAAGAATTTATAAATGTGACTGTTAAAAATAAGCATTCTGGCGACGCCAGGCTCATCCATAAGCCGCACGACCGAGCACACTAATGTTGTTGTTCTTTATATTTTGTAGGAGGGGTCACGGCGCATCCGACCTTTGCCTTTTCCTTTTTATATGCTCGGCTCACCAAGGTGCTGTATTATTTCAGTGCACGTACAATTTCTGATAGAAAAGAGATCCGTATCAAAATTTTCTATTTTAATTCGCCAGATCATCTCGGAGAGCAATTATGCGCTGTTCAGGAAGATCCTTGTTTGCCTTTCGCAGCACGCTCCGTATTTCAATCGAAAAACATTCAGAGCACGCGGTGATTAATGGAGTCGATCGCGTGATGCTGGCGGTGCACTTTTTCCGTTTCTGCTCGCACAACATAAAACAATGCCAATCATTTAACAAACTGAAAATATCACGTATCATCATTTTTAAATGGTGATAAATCACTTTTCATTTATATACCGAACAATTTTCTAATTACACATCATCATGGGAGGCCGATGCAGTAGAATGGGGGTCTTTGTCTATTTCAGCTCATAATGATTTATATCGCCAAACACACGCTCTAATTGATTCCAATTGAAACATGAAAAAGGAAAGAGCCGCGCCGTCTGTGTCGCATTATTTTATCCGCACATGCGCCCGTTCGGCTGTGAAAAAATCGCTTGCGTGAAACTGGAGACCGGCGCAGGATCGAATTAATAATTTCCGCGAAGTTGCTCTTTCGCATTAACATTTTTATTTGCAGCGTGTGACGATATCAAAAGCGACCTCAGAATTAAAAATTTTTTGCGCCGGACCGCAAACCTGCTTGATGAGTCGGGCCGCGGCCTTTTAGGTCTCTCGACACGCATTAATTCTGCATTTCGGAAAACAAAACGGCTCCAATTACATACAATTCGCGAGAGAGCACGTGCACGAATTAAAAAATAAAAATTTTTCAATATGAAATTATTAAAGAGGATGGAGGTTTGGAAAGAGAGCTGCTGGTGTCGTGGCGGCAAATAATAATCCATTGTTCTTCCTGCTGTGCAACAACAGGTCCCCTTTGCTGCCGGATTAAACGATGATGACATTATATGAGGGTCGCGCGCATCAACCGAAAATTACACGTGCACTCTCTGCGGTCGCCTGCCTCGACAGAGATAAGGAGAAAGAAAGCAGGATTTGACAAATTATCTCACTCGGACGGAGACAAATATTTATGCGTGCCTCAAGAGCAGAAACCGTGGCCAGATATCTGCTTAAAATTGAATAAATAAACCGGCAGCGGCGGCGGCTGAGAGAGGGGAATCTTGTTTCACCACCCTAATTGGGGCCCATCCGCGCCTTTTAAGAGGCACTTAGGCAAATGCGACAGAGATTTCGCCATGCGCTAGGAATATTTTATTCCATTATGAATGTCGCAGGTATACGGAAATCCGATAGGAGATGGACGCGTTGGTAATAAAAGAAACACCTTATTTTTATTGATAACTGGAACTAACTCTTTTTATATTCGGCGCCGCAGACACTTTTATTAGAAATATAAAATTCGTGTTTTATTTATACGCATCCGGCGCGGTATATTCGAAAAAATATTTTACATTCATGCCTGCACGGTGGAGGAATGCGCGCATTCAATTGCGTTTGATGATCACTTTAACCGACCGATTATCACGCACGCCCGAATAATATTTTTATTATCGCGTCGCACCTGCCCTTCTTCTTTTCGTCTGCGCCTTTCACAGATCACACAGCGAAAATAAAGCCTCGAGGGTCCGCACACGTGTTCCGACAGAGAACACCCTCAAGCTCTTGGATTTCTTTCCTTACCCCCCTAGCTGCATGTGGGTGTTGCTGGGGTCGGTTTTTTCAACCAACGCCTCCACCTAGCATTGAAATCCCTGCCGCACATTAGGGGGAAGGTTAGAGCAGGTCATCTGGAGTTTGGGGAGGAAGAAAAAAGTATATATGCGCTCTATTGACTCCAGAAGCAGTGCAGGTTGTCACCAGACTGTTGTTATTTCCCTCCAAAAGTGAGCGGCGAAAAAAGCCAGACGCGTGATTTGGTGCGGACGTGTTGCTTTGAAAACGCGGGGTGGTTTATTATTTTTCAAACTTTTAGAGAAATTTTTTGGAGAATAAAAGCCCTCCTTGTGTCAAATTTTACGGACGAATTTTTACAACATTTTTATGAATTTTTTATTGGTTTAGCAAAGTAAATAATCCAGCCTGGAGATTATTTATTCGAATATCAAAAGCCGCGCTCTGTTAAAACTGCCTCTCAATTGGGGCCTTTTATTGCCGGTGCGTATTGATATCAGGCAGACAGCAAAAAATTCGTTGTCTGTTATTTGAAAAGTTTCCACTCTTCTCTGAAAGGTAATGTACCGTGGGGGAGGCTTATTTTTTTTTTCGGGGAACGAAATATCCACTGGTGTTTGTTCTCTAAATGTGTCCGACCTGTAGGTGGTCGGCGGCACAGGATCAGCAGCCTCGAGGAAAACTGTGCGTGATATTTTGCTTTGTCCTGGCCGAGGAGGATTTTCTTCATCACCGACGGCGCTTTGTATTTTATCTCCAGTCTGTTGGTTTTTTTCCACTCCCGCTGGTCCATTTTTGTCCCGTGCCATCGGGAGAAATTTCCGAGCAGATTGAAAATTAAATTGAAACCGAAAAGCAGGATCTGCGACGGACAGATGAACAACCGCGCATTAATTTGTCATGCCTTGCACGCTGTCTTTGTGTGATGAGGCACTTTTGGATTTTTTTCTTCGTCTCTCGGCCGTTCCTTTTAAAACACTCTTTTGATAATTAGTGGGTTGCTTCATCTTTCATTTTGTTATACTACTGAGAAGCGAGAAGAATGAAACGAGAGACAGCCGCGGCTGAGAACGGCCGCGCAACGCTAATTATTCTTTCATTTCCAATTCAAAGAGAGGCTCCATTTAATTGTGATTTGAAAGACACGTACGTACGTGCGAGTGACCTTCGAAATTGCCCAAGTAACGACAAAGAAAAGGACGCAAAAACAAAGAGGCATCATTTGTGCGCTGGCAAAAAGCCAAGATCTTGCAAGGCAGTGTAAAAATATATAAATAAAATGCCTTTCTCGTGTCAGTCATATTCTTACAAAAGTGCATTACTTCACCGCATCCTTCGACACGCCCCTCTGTGGAAAAGGTTCTTGTCATCCTGGCCGGCGCCTCCATAAAATAAACGTCTGCGCGGTGTCAACATTTGTGTGCAGAAAATAGCCGGAGATTTCAACGAGCGCGCGTTTTCCTCTTTCGATCAGCCGCAGAAATTGCTTTTCTGGAATAGGAATTCAACGCGGCCCCCTTTATGTGGCTTATGCGGCAAACAACCTTTTTCAATCCGTGCACGACGGATTTCCTCCTCGAAAAATGCCCGATCTATTATTATAAACGCAGGCCATATTCCGAGTAAATCGTCTTTGTGATAAATACCTGGCAGCCTTTCCAGAAGGAGCAAGAAAATTGCTCATAATTTCGAAACTTTTTTGTCCG